CTGCTCCGCTCCGCCCGGTCTCGTCTCTGCAACGCCCTGCGGGAGGGAGAGCGCCGCTACCCTCGCCTGCCGTGGGGTGGGGCCAAACATCGTCCCCGCCCCGGCCCGGCTCCCCTGAGCAGGAGCCAAGTGCGCATCCCCACCCACCGCTTATCTGTGTGCAACGGTCAAGCGTGGCTTTCTACCCGGGCTCTGTGTCCAGCAGCCAAACGGGATCCCTATCCTCTGCACCCGTCCCAAGCAGCCATGAAGGACCCTGAGGGCGTCAACACCGAGTCTGCACACTCCCTGCTGCCGCTGGAATGTAGGCCAGCATCCAGCTGCCATAAACAGCCCGTCTGTATGAGAGCAAACCAAAAGGCAAGATCTAAATTTCCCATCTCTCAGAATTTAATCCAGCTTTTGGGCCTTGGCCCTATCAGAATGAGAAAAAGGTAGAACCTGTCCTGAGACATGGTGAGAAGACCGTGCATAGATAGAAGTGTTTTGCTGGTCCATCATAAGGGGTTCCAGGAAAAGAGGACTGAAGCTATTGACCTAACATGTCATTTCTTCCCCTCTCCTCATTCCAGTTCTCTAGTTCTCCCATGAATTCTTTCATTATGACACTGTGTCCTAAATAATAATTCCCGTATGTTATCACATGAATCCTTGAATGGTGACATAAGTACCTCTATTGCACATGTTTATCCACACAATCTCAGAGCCTCTGAAAAGAAGATGAGAGGCTTGGGATGGTGAATTTCATAGCCAACTCAAAAGTGTTGACAGATATGCTTTAAATACGTATTTTAAAAAATCCCTGGCAATTCCAGGAGCATCCCAACATGCATTTTAACAATCACTAAGGGAAAATATACTTTAGAATTTTTTTACGTGATTTGGACTGGATGTGACCTGGCACAAGAACTGGGAACAGAATCAAAGAATTCTGACTTTGGGCCTCCCATTTAAACATGAGTCAACATTGCTCATGGATTTGTGCATATTTTAGGAGACATGTTCACACTCTCCATACCCTTGCTTATACCTAAATATGTGTGAAGAAATTACTAAATACAGTACTTTCCAAAGAAGCAGCCCAGAAAAGATAACAAGTAGATAACTTTGTTTATGTTATCTGTTTTCTTTTGTTTCAAAGTTATGTAGCCATTGTAGGCAGCTTTATGTAGTCAGATACTATGCAAACCCCCCACCAAAGTTGCAAAATATTACTATAAATTATAAGACATGTCCAGAAAATTAAAAAGTGTATGATGTGATGTACTTGGCTATAGTATATTATATTCAATAAATGACATGCAGTTTCAGAAGCTGTTTTAGCTGTTTAGATTAATTAATAATTGAAAAACAAGGCTTGCAAAAATGACAACTATTG